CGCTAAAAGGATTCAAGGTGAGATCACGACTGTTAAGTTTCAGATCTTTCATACCTTCGCGTAATTGCGAAGGTCCCAATTTGTAGACTCTGAGAAGACGTGGGAACACTCTGTTTGCGCTACGTGTTTCCAGTTGATATTCAAAGTGAAACCCTGGGCCACTTGTCTCTCCAAATATTTCGTCTCCACGTGGCCAGATATTACGCATCTCTGGTTATCGCGACGCAGGTCCTAAGTCCAATATAAGGGGGATGCATGTACTGACAATAGAAAGTCGGCTCACAGAGGATTTTGCATGCCGATGATCTCGAGGACTGGGTTTCAAGTCTTGCACAACTAGGGCTTGAGTCTCATTGAATATTGAAATGGAAAGATGTCTGGATGGTTCAGGAGTGGGCCCTTTAGCTTTCAAAACTGAGGACTTGTTCACTACAGAGGTAAGCGACACAATCATCGACGGTACTCACAAGTGCGAACAAAGTGTTGGTTATAGAAACAACCTTGCTTGATAAGCAGCCCATCGTCTTCACAAGAGGTGATGGTCTGAGCGACATGTAGCTTAGCAACTTCGCTGGGTCCAACGGATAAGAGATGTCCAAGGATCCGCACATCGACAAGGTTTTGTTTCAATGTCGCGACCTCGCGCCGAGCGGTGGCTTTCTCGAGATCGCGTGTGATGGCTGCTTCCACCTTTCGGCATCTCCTCATCGCTTCCACAATCTCTGACGGCTGATTTGTGAGGATACTGGGGAGTGGCTGCTGCGTGTTGAACATTGTTGAACGGGAGCAAACTGGTACAAAAGCGCCTGATCGAACCGACGATGTCATAAAGCTCGAGCCAGCCGAACCGTTAAGGTGCACGACCTGCATCACCTATGATTATCTCTTCTTGATAGCAGGTTCAGGGAGCTGGGATAGTTATCAAACCCGAAGGACGCAGCGCTACAAGAGGCAGATGTCATGCGCTACAGGTTAAACAACGCCCGAAGGGACGATGTGGACGCTAAGTATACAGAGGACAACGCTCACAGCCCAAAACTTTTCATCCCATGCAGCTTCTCAGGCAGGCTGAGTAGTCTAAGGTAGTCCTGCGGTCTATAGTTATTTGCATAATTCTGTGAAAACGCAAAAGTTCGCCGGCCTTAGGTTATCTGACCATGTTTGGCCTATCACCGCCATCCAACGAACTCGTCAGTTCCCTTAGCGCAGATCGATGTACTCAGAGACTGTGTGTTGATGGCGAACCGTATTACTAGGCTAGTCGGCCCTCAAGGCCTTATCCCGTGAGGAGACGCGGCTCTTGAGCTTGAGCTGGGAGGTTCCTGCAATGCGCGTCTGTATCCTTCGTTAAAAGTCAGATAACGTAAGCAGACGTCTGAAGTCCGCTCGACATCCTCCTAACTTGCTCAAGACCCATCCCAACCGCTCATTGATCCCACAATGTCGTATGAACCGCAACATCTTCCTGGCGATTTTACGCACCAGTCGCCATCTATCGTCGGAGCAATGGATAAATGTCGACAAGCGGAAGCAGCCATCACACGCGACCTCGAGAATAACGCCGCTGGTAGCGCAGTCTTAGTGCTGGAGAAGAAGCTCGTCAACGTGCGGATCTTAGGACACCTCCTTACTGTTGGGCCCACCAGTGCTGCTCAGGCTTACATCGCCCAAATGATTAGCTCCTGTCAAGATGAGCAAGCACTTATCGAACTAGGCGAAGCCTATGACAAGTACTTCATCCGCGCTTGTAAGTCTCACCCAACTGCTGTCTGAGCCATCTTCTCAACTTCCGTAGTTGCTGTACACGGTATTGACACCGGCATTTCGCCTCGTCATCTCTATCGGGACTCATTTACTATTCCCAAAACCTCAAGCTTGCGGAAGCTAATGCATTATAGTCGTTACCGGGCGAAATCCCTTGTGAGCTCCATCGTTGCAAAGCAAGCATTTCTCTCATTTTTTTCTAGGCCCTTATTCGCGACAACTATCGCTGCATGGTGGCTGGTCGAATTGATGGTACGGCCGCGAATTCCATGGAGGCACTGGCCCGCGAAATGATCGACAGAAGAATCATAGCTGAGGCAACGCGCTGCGCATACATTTTCCCTGAATATCTCGCTGTTGATACCGGCAACGAGGCGAAGGTATGTAGATTTCCGAACGTTGCAATCTCGGTCTGACTCCCCTGAGTTTCCTTAGCGTCGGGACATAGCCAAAGTATGGGACGTTATCAAGGGTTTCGGTTACCCTAAGATTCAGGAGGAGCTGAAGGGCGCCCAAATTCATTCTCTGTGTAACATACTCACCCTGGAGCCCACCTTGTGCTCGTTCTTTGACGAGCTCAGGCTATGGTTCGTTCCAACTGTGAGTCGCGAAGGCCTTTCCCGCCCTCGAGGACGTTCTCACCAGCTCTTCATTAGGAGACACCGAACCACTATCTGGTTGAAACATCGATGCCGTTTACACTTTTCAAGAGCAGGGAGGTTCCGCGCGTCATCGAGTTCAAGACTACTGAACCTGACCTTGACCTGCCGTCTGCGGAATATCTCAACATTCGCGCGACTTGCTGCCGTGTGTACCATATGTCAGGCGCTGCAGAGTACTTTGACAAGCTGGACGACGACAACGATTTGGATGCTGACGACGATCTGGATGCCGACGACGATCTGGATGCCGACAATGATGATCTGGATGCCGACAATGATGATCTGGATGCCGACGACGAGCTGGATGCCGATGAGCTGGCTGCCGACGACGAGCTGGCTGCCGACGACGAGCTGGCTGCCGACGGTGATCTGGTTGCCTATGCGGCCCCTACCCATCGATTTGCCGAGATGTTGGCGGCCCGTCTGCATGGTACCTGCCCAACCGATGTTCGACAGGTCAAGGTTGCATAAGTTACTCCCATCGTCTTTCCTTGCAGACTTCGATACCTTGGGTTTACTTGTACATTATCTTCACTTGTTGTGGTAGTGCCTGAAGGAAGTAGTTCCTATCGGAGCGTGTGACGCACTGTATCAACGAGGTACACTGGTAATATAAGAACCAATGGAGATTTACATTTCAAACATATCCTCTATACTGATACCATTAATCTTTATCGCTCCGTCTCCTGCGACTGAAGGGTGCCCCTATCAGCCCTTCTCGTTTCTGTCAGTGGGTTATCACGGGCTGCACGTCGGCATGGACAGGCGCATCAATACGCTA